TAATATAAAAAAAAAATAATTTTGAAAAAGTGGCATTTTTGTAAAGATTTCAAAAGTGTGGTATTTTTGTAAAGTTACAATTGAAAAATGACATTTTTTGAAATTTCTCATTTTTTTTTTCTATTGAGCAAATTAACACTATTTAATTGTTGTTTAGCAAAAAAAAAATAGTTAGTCAAATATTTAATTGTTGTTTAGCAAACAAAAAAATATATTTAATTGTTAGCAAAAGTTAAAAGAAGATTCTTTTGTTAACAGCTTTTTTAAAAAAAGATTCTTTTGTTTAACAATTGAATATTCAAAAGTGGAATATATAAATGCAACGAGAAAAATCTTATTATAAAGCAACTACCGTGAACGTACGGATTTCTCTCCCAGGCGCGGGACTCGAGACAAGCCAAACTTTCAACCGCTCCATGGAGGATCTCCGGCGTGCCAGCCTGGATCAAGCTTGCGGGCCGTCGCCTGCTCGGGAGCTTCTCTAGATTCCCGACCTCCCTCCGGTGAACCGCCGGAGACACTTGCTCCCTCTCCATCCCTTGAGATGGTAAGTTCCCTTTCTTCTCTTTCGAGGCTCACCCCTTTTTTCAACGTTCTGCTCCGGGTGAGGCCAGACTCGATGATGGAGGACTGTTCGCGACCGGCGGAGCCACCGGAACCGCCGGACCCGCCGGACTCGCCGCGACATGGCTCAAAATCTCTGCCCCATCGTCCGCTGTCCTATCGCCAGTGTTTCCCCACCATGAACTCGCCCGAATCTCAGTCTGTGGCTTCTTCGCTTGCTCCATCGACTGTAAGGACTAACCCATCGCCGAGATCTGATAAAATATTCGCCGCCGTTCATTGCTGCTCCGGTTCGAGAAGTAAATCGATTCGGTCTTCCCACCCCGTCTCATCCCTCCCACACAAGATGGGTTACTCTCTTCACCTACTCCGACCATCAACCGTAGCCCTGGTCCTGGTCCGACATCGCTCACCGGGAAAGAGTTCAGTAGCGAGGAGGGAGAAGAGAAACCGATCTTACTCTAATAACCTATGGGCCTGGCCCAAAATTGTTGGTGAAATACTTAGCCCATCAAGCAGATGGGTCCATGGCCCATTATCCTTTGAGTACAAGCCCAAGTCACGAGTTAGTGTAGTCGGGTATATGACGATCAACGATTTATCCCTGCAAAGTTATACTGCACTTCTTGGTGATTTAGTCATGGTGTTACAGAACTGTTAAAATTTTTGTCCTCCAAATCGAGCATGGAGAGACCAATTCGTCTTCACTGTTCTTCATTCTAGCAACCGTCGAGATTCATATCCCCACGTAGGAGAGGGTCAAAGTTTTCTGGATTCTCAAATCCTGTTTTTCGCGAGCTCGATATCTTCCCTATTGAGAGAAGATCAAAGTTTTCTGAATACTCAAATCCTGTAATTTACTCCCGGTGGAAAAGTTCAATTCCACCTTCTTCCATCTTTTTGAGATTTGGAAAATGACTACCCTGAGACTCTCCGGCTTTGCCGCGAATATCCTCTTGACGCATCCGAGTCATGACTTGGATTCGCTGTCCATCTTCTACGATGATCTATCTATTTATGTTTTATCGCATTCATTTCAATTGTGTTGTATTTATGGTGGATGATGTTTTATTCCCTCATTTTGTACTTGGATCGTTTAAATGGAAGAAAAACCTTGTTGG